GTGTGTGTGTGTGTGTGTGTGTGTGTGTGTGTGTGTGTGCGTGTGTGTGCGTGCGTGTGTGTGTGAGAGTGTGTGAGAGTGTGTGAGAGGGTGTGTGTGTGAGAGTGTGTGAGCGTGCATGCTCATTTCTGGATTAGTGTAGCATGTGTGCTCAGCTGATGTCATGTGATGAAGTTCCATTTGGATTAATGAGATTTTGACAAAGCTATGCAAGTTGAACTTTCTACATGCACAAGAAGCTTGTAATTACTTGTGTGTGTGTGTGTGGGGGGGGGGGGGGGGCTTCATCAACATGCAAGTATCATGTCAGTCAGGTCAGAACAGGCACACAATCTATCCTCCCTCATCTCTTCCCTGGATTCACAGCCTCCTGTCTCTTTTCCAGATGCTGAGTGAGCGTCACGTGATGGTCCGTGTTGGTGGCGGGTGGGAGACCTTCACAGGTTACCTGCAGAAGCATGACCCCTGCAGAGGAGGAGGGGGGACTCCCAGCAGGTCTGAGGTCAGGTGCTGCAGACACAAAGTGAAGCCGCTGGGCCTGAACGTGTCTCCGGACACGTACATGGTGGTTGGAGCCCATTGTCGAGGCAAGAAGTAGTTTCAAACAAAACTCGTTCTTCTTGAGATTTACAGGAAACAAACTTATTGTTGTCATGATATTTCAATAGAACAGTTTGTTTTATTATAGCCAGATGTGAACAAACAGCAGATTCATAGTTTTCAATCAATAAATTAAATATAAAACTTAAATTAGCTGATTTGGAGCAACTTTTTCCTGCTCTGAGTTTTACTCGGAATATAAAAATCTAAGAAAACAATTGCTGATGTAATTTTTTGTATTTTCATAATAATTACATAATACTACTTTAAAAAGTTTGTATATATCCTTGTAATGCATTGTTAAATCATATGTTTTGATTTGCCCTGGTTTCATGTCTTCATTAAACTGAGACTTTTTTTATTTTCGATCTCGTCGTTTGTGCTGAAGCTTTTGTTTTATTTGATAAAACCATGTATATCCATGATTCTATACAACTTAATTCATATTTAGCTTTAAATCAACACTGTCCTAATGCTGTTGTAAAGTTGACATGGAGAGATGACCATGACACTTCATACACGTCCATCTTAATATGATGTTTCTGAGTCTTTTGTTGTTAATATTTCTTCATGTGTGAAGCAAAGAGCAGGAAGGACCTGGACTAAAGACCAGAGGGACTCAAACCAAGTCCTCCTTGTCCTCTAGGTGGCGCTCTGTCCTCAGTGACAAAAGTCAGCTCCACAAAATGCTTCATCTTTACTGAGTCAACACTTCACAACATTCTGCTGCTTTCTTACACACATGGGGGCGGTGCACAATATAGTTTAAATATAATTTCTATAAAGGGAGCATCAGTGCTGATGATTTACAGAAAACAGTGCAGATTATAGGCACAGACAGGAAGAAAGAAACGGTCTTAATAATTACGTTTTATTTCATTTAAATCAATTAAAAATGGACATTTCTTTCATATGTTCAAAGAAACCAACTGATGAGCTCATGCAAGACTGGGAGGTCCAGTTATTTTTAGCACACACCACATCTGAGGTGGATGCACCCAGTGAGTAGAAATGATTTGTAGAAAATAAAAGTTGTGCTACTCAAACAGGTGCCACTTTTCTCAGTGCAGGACGAAGATATCTGCAGGTAACACACGCAGGTACGACTGTGGGAGGAGTTTACGACACGTTTGAACACAATGTTCACCTTGAGATGACCTCATCTGATGTTCTGTGTTTTGAATGTCTCGTGTGTGACTCCTCTTCTGTACCGAGTCGGAGCTGCACACAGCTGCGTGTTGGGCTTCCTGAAATTTACCATTTGAGATGTGTGTGTGTGTGTGTGTGTGGGGGTCGGGGTGGGCGTGGGGTCCTGTGCTTTGAAATGTTCTCTTGAAATTCTTGGTGAAAGCAGCATATGATGCAGATCAGTGCTGTGAAAGCCACATTCTCCCACTAATGACACAGAAACTTAACGAGTTGTGCTTCAGTCATAACAACACATTATACTTGCACCAAATACTTATACACAAGTTTCACAACTGCCTTTAGTAAAACTCGTATCTAAAGAATAGTTCAGATCTTCTGAAGTGGGGTTCAGTGGGAAGGTTATGAGCAATCAGCATATCAAATGTTGTAGATAACTCGTTGCACATTAGTTTCATAGAACTCCCGTGTGACTGGACTATCGTGCACGAGGCAGAGGTTTAGAGCAAAATCACACAATGCTGCTTTAAAGTAACTAATATAAAAAGATTCATAGCAGTACATGCAACAGTCTCCCAGCGCTAACAGTGAAAGAGCGATACTGCTGTTGCCCATGTTTTCATGTTCGTTTGTCTCTACTGTTAGCAAAATATTTATCAATCACTGGATAACTTTTGAACTTAAACAATTCAAGATGGCTGCCACCTGAAAGTACAAACACAACCTGGCTGTACTTCCACCAGTTTTACATAAAGTAAGTAACAATTTGATGTGGTAGTAGCTGAGGATCCTACTGAACAAATACTTTGATAATGAAAGAAAACTTTGGTGTTAACTCTTAAAAATAAATAATTAAATAAATAATTTGTGTGCATATTGTCCACTGTTGTCATCTTTCTTTGTTAAAATCAGGTCTCACTTGTAAATGAGTCCTTGAGGCTCAATGGGATTAACCTGTCTAAAAAAAGGTTGAATTAAAAGTCAAATCTGTTTGTCTGTTAGCAAAATATCACATGAATGAATTTCAATGAAACTCAGAACATAAATGAGACATCTGTAATGTATTACATCGTTTCTTCACCTGATCGACCTTTCTGAGGCCACCACAGCTAATCCACCTCAGACAACACAAGAATACCTGTACTGGGTGACGTTCACAGATATTGAGCTGAAGTTTGTGTTGTAGTCGCTGACTCTTTCACGGCATATACTTCAAGTATCAACAGATCATGGAGATACTGCAATACTACAGTGTGTATATATATATATATATATATATATATATATATATATATATATATATAAATAAATAAAG